AAAATCAGTAGATATTCAAGTCCCATTAAATACAATGGCACAGCAAAATGCTTTCCCTTATATAAAATGGAAAATCAAGGTTTGCTATTTGAAATTTATATTTTTAAAAAAATATTTTCAAGCCTTGGATGCTTTGTATGTATGTATGTATGTGTAGAGATAGAAAGTGATAGCCATGATCAGCCACAAAACAGCATCTTACCATTGCATTTTTCTTTATTTCTTGTCGTTTCACTCTCCTCTCTTCTCGACGCTTGTCTTTTTTCAAGGCAGTTGTTATCTCTTCTTTTATTTCATGGCTGTTGATCACCTGTCCATTATGTAACACTTGTGAGTTCTGTTTTAAATATTCCATAAATCCATTAACATCTTCATTCAGATAGTCTTTTTTCTTCTTATTTTTCTTCTTCCCCTGGGTGCTCTTCAAAGAAAGCTTGTTACAAACGCTCTGCTTTTTATCTTTTGTTGTGTTTTGGGCAGCATCATTTTTCATATCTTCCCATGGTGTTGCATCCAGAGCCTTCTTATTGTGGGTAACATTTGATCGAGCCCATCTGGTCATGACTTCATACAATTTTTCCTACAAGACTTTAATACAAGCACAGGTTACTATCATTTACAGATTCAGTGCTCATTAACATAGAGGGTAAATTTAAAAAATGAGGGAGTTGTGAGATTGTTGAGACAAACTACAGCAAATTTTGTGCTATTACCCAGGCTGAATCAATCTTGAGAATTTTTTTAACCATTACTGGTGCATCTTTCTTAAAATGTTCAGGGCACTGAGAAAATTTTATAATGAGAAATAATCCCTCTGGTATGCTCCCCCCGCCATGTCCCAGACATGTCTCACTTTTTCAGGTTAAGCACCAATTGTTCATGTTAAGCATTCAACAGCCTAGGTGCCCTTAACTCTTCAACTATTAAGTAAGCTTACCTGGAGGATTTTGACAGTGCAGCCCTCAGTTGTACCCTCAACCTTTTAAAGGCTATAAAGTCTCGGGATTTCATCTTGCATGTCTGTAGTTAAGCCATGAAGTACTACTGTTTGAATTAATCCTGTTCCTACTGCCTTTCTATTTCATGGGGCTTTCACTGCAATTATTAAAGCCAAACTGAAGAGGTAACTTAGGCTTGCTCAAACAAGAGCCCTCAGAAAGCTGAACCATATTCCAAAAATCCCAAATACATTTTTTTTAAAATAAAGAAACAAAGGGCCTTTACAGACTGCCAGAAATAATGCAGCTTGAGGCCAAGGCCCTGGCTCAGTGCTAGGGAATTATGGGAACCGTAGTTTATTGTGGCATCAGACCTCTCTGACAGAGAAGGCTCAATGTCTCAGGAAAAAAACTACAATTCCCATGATTCCCTAGCACTGAGCCAGGGCCGTTAAAGTAGACTCAAGCTGCATTATTTCTGCCAGTCTGTAAAGGCTCAAAGATAATTCTTAAAAGGTGTCAGTTTCCTGTTCCTTAAGACAGCTTCTATAGATCTTTTTAATCCTTCTGGGATGCAAATGAAGCACTCTGAATACTATGTAGTAACTACAGAGAGAAGGGGAAATTTCAGGTTAACAAATATCTTTTTATTCAAGACTTCTGGGCTCTGATAAAAGGTAAAGGTAAAGGTATTCCTTGCTGATAAGATTGTCAAGTCATGTCCAACCATAGGGGACGGGACGGTGCTCATAGCATTGTCAGAGACTACTCTGTGATCATGTGGCCAGCAGGATTGCACAGAATGCTGTTTACCTTCCCTCTGAGAAGTGGTACCTATTTATCTACTTGTGTTTGCATGCTTTCAAACTGCTAGGGCTCTGATAGGAGAAGCCAATTTTAAAGGTCTTTTAAGGCAGAAGGTGCTATAACAGGAATCAAAGGAGAAATCCAAGATGTCAGTGTATTTGTGAATGAACATGTCTCCAAAGAAACAAAACTAAAGAGAACTGAAAAGAGAGTGGGTTATCTTGAGTGAAACGTTTAAAAACAGTCTGCCTACTAACATTCTTGTGCCAATACAAGCCCTTTCTCATCCTAGAATGTCTGCAAACAGCATGCAAGAAACAGTGGCCTAAAATAGTCCAATGCTGCTGGTTTCCAGAGCAGTTTAGTCCACCTCATTAAACCCATATTGCAGACTGGATCAGAATGAGGGCAAGTATGCAAATGCAGTATGAATATAACTAGATATTATTTAGGCAGACTTTTGGTGTGTGAATTTTACTTTTATAGTGTCTGTATGCATAATTGATGTGCTATTTTTAATGTTTTAATGGTTTTAACTATGCTGTGTTTTTAACTGTTATGTTTTAATATTAGTATTACTTAATTATTTTTTAACTTTTGTAATTAATGTTTTAGTTGTACCATGGGTCTTTGTTAAACGCTGGGGTTTAGTTCCAGGATCCCCTCTGGATAACAAAATCCGTGGATGTTCAAGTCCTATTAAACATAATGGCAGAGCAAAACGGTGTCCCCTCTGTAAAACAGCAAAATCAAGGTTTGCTATATGGGATTTATACTTTTTTAAAATATTTTCAAGCCATGGATGCTTGAATCCATGGACAAAAAAATCCGTGGATAAGGAGGGCCAACTATATCCTTTTTAAATTAGTGTAAGCTACCCTGAATCCCATTTTGGAAGAAAAGTGGCATATAAATACAATAAATAAATAAAACAGAGCCCTCCCTAGTTTCTATATTCTAGTATGAATATAAATACATATTGTGGTCTGAAGTAGTCTGAAGCTGACTTGTTGTTTCTGTATATAAACCATGTTCAGATTTCAACAGCTATCAGTACCTTCAATGCCCACAACCAAACCCACTGTTAGCTCCAAAACAGTGCTCAGTAATATGCAGAAGCTTCAGGGACCCAGCCCAGTCACACAATAAGTGGAGTAAGGATTGCCTCCATACCTGCCCCCACCACACCATTACTTTCTCCCATGTGGAATAAAATCTGAATAAGGCGGAACTCCTCTCTTGCAGGTTTGTTGTTGTTGTTAACTGCCCTTGAGTTGACCATGGGGAAGAGTGCTGGGGATACCATGGATGGCCAAAAAGACCAGCAAATAAATGGTCCTTGAGCAGATCAAGCCTGGAAACAAGATGATTAAATTGAGGCTGTCGTACTTTAGACACATCATGAAAAGACACAACTCTTCCTCTCTTTCTACTGCCTATTTTTCCTAGCATTGTTGTCTTTTCTAATGAGTTGTGTCTTTTCATGATGTCGAAAGTACGACAGCCTCAGTTTCATGATATGTCAAATAGACATATTTAAAATTTAAAACATACAAAAGTTAAAAACATAATCTAAAGTAAAACCAACCAACCCCCTAAGTCCTAAGTCAGAAACAACTAGAAGACACACAACATCAGCAGCCCTTTAGCCTTAAGTAGCAACCAAATACATCTGAGGAAGTAGATTTAAGGGCCTTTACAGACTGCCAGAAATAGTGCAAATTGAGTCCACTTTAAGGGTTAGGGTTAGTGCTAGGGAATCATGGGAATTGTATTTTTTTCTGAGACATTGAGCCTTCTCTGTCAGGGAGCTCTGGTACCATAATAAACTACAGTTCCCATTATCCCTTAGCACTGAGACAGGGCAGTTAAAGTGGACTCAATTTGCACTATTTCTGGCAGTCTGCAAAGGCCCTTAAGTCTATGAAAGCTCATGCTGCCAACTATTATTATTATTCTTCAAAGACATAGCCCTGTTAGTCTGTAGAATCTTGTAGCAGCTTTGAGATTCACTGAGAGAAAGAAGTTGGCAGCAGGAACTTTCCTAGACTTAAATCTACTTCCTTCAATCAATGCATCTGAGGAAGCAGACTGAAGTCTACTAAAATTCATGCTGTCAACATTATTTATTATTATTATTATTATTACTATAATACACGGCTTTTGTGGGTGAGCTGTTTCCACAAAACAGCTTTCTTCTTCTCTTGAGGGACAAACGCCGCTCCCCTGTTTCTTACCGCCTGAAATCTCCTTCGGTCCAAGAGACTGTTATATCTGAACCGCCACCACCAGCTTTTTCTGCCTCCCTCCCTAGAGGAACTATTTCCGCTTCCGCTCTCCGAGTGCAGAGACCAGAGCGTCGCCTGAGGGACGCTCTGGCAAGAGAACTCTATGCTCAGGAGTTTCATCCTCCTCCCTGACCCCACCCCAAAGGAAGGCCTTCCCCATCCTCCCAGAGCCATTGCTCCTAACAAAGCCTCTAGCAAGGCAAGGAGGAGAAGGACAAGGCAGGGCTGGTGTGTGTGACAAGACTTTAAGCATCTCTGCCACTGGCTGTCTTAATTTTATAATGGTGGTGGTGTTATGTGCTTTTAAGTTGATGTTGACTTAATGATGACTCTAGTCTTCTATCATGGGTTTTTGTTTTCTCTTTTTGCAAGATCGATCCACAGATTTGGCGCTTTCCTTGGCTTCCTCTCAGCCTGAGAGTAGGCCACAGAATAGGTGCCTCCATTTCTGGTTTATGGCAGACCCTATCATGGAGTTTCCTTGGCAAGATTTCTTCAGAGGAGGTTTGCCATTGCCATCCTCCGAGGCTGAGAGAATGTGACTTGCCCAAGGTCACCCAGTGGGCTTCCATGGCCCAGCCAGGATTCAAACCCTGGTCTCCAGTTAGAGTCCAACGCTCAAACCACTGCGCCACACTGGCTCTCAACATGGTGACCCTAAGGCAAACCTGTCATGGGGTTTCCTTAGCAAGGTTTGTTTAGAGTAGGTTTGCCATTGCCTAGTCCCAAGGCTGAGAGAGTGCAACTTGCCCAAGGTCACCCAGTAGGTTTACATGGCCGAGCCAGGATTCAAACCCTGGTCTCCAGCCAGAGTCCAACGCTCAAACCACTACGCTATGCTGGCTCTCAGCATGGTGAGTCTATGATGACCCTATCATAGGCAAGGTTTGTTCAGAGTAGGTTTGCCATTTCCTTCCCCTGAGGCTGAGAGAGTGTGACTTACCCAAGGTCACCCAGTGCGTTTATATGGCCAAGCAGGAATCGAACCCTGATCTCCACCGTCGTAGCCTAACACTCAAACCACTACGCCACACTGGCTCTTGTACGTGGGTATACTTATAAGTAATCTCTCTATTTCACTCAATGCAATTGAGTAAGCACTAACCAGCATGCTGTCATGGCTTGAGCATTGGATCATAACTCTGGAGATCAGGGTTCGATTCCCTGCTCAGCCATGGAAACCACTGGGTGAGCTTGGGCAAGACACACACTTTCAAACCCTCCAAAAAATGCACTGTGTGCCTTCAAGTCATTTCTGAGTTATGGTGACTCTAAGCCAAACCTATCACAGGGTTTTCTTAGCAAGATTTGTTCAGAAGAGGTTCAGGTTGAGAGCACATGATTTGCTCTAGTGGATTTCATGGCCAAGCTGGGAATCGAACCCTGGTCTCCATAGTCCAACACTCAAACTATGCTGGCTCTCACTTTCTCCTTAGGACTGCCATAAGTCAGAAAGACTTAAATGCACAAAACAGCATAAACAACAGCCCTGATTAGAACTTGGATGGGAGACTACCAATCAATAGCAAGTGTTGTAGGCTATCTTTCAGAGGAAGGAACTGGCAAAACCACCTTTGAGTGTTCATGAAATTAATAGTGTCACCATTAAAGACAACATGAAGGTGCAAACACACAAACAAACATTATCTGTGCCAAAACAGTGGCTTGGGGTGGATTACAATAACTGATGACATGATGGAACAAAATGTCATAATATTATTAGTGCAGAATGTGATGCTTAATGGACTAGGGAAATGTCTAGGACTATTCCACTCTCTTAGCCTCAGAGGAAGGCAAAGGCAAACCACCTCTGAAAAAAAAATCTTGCCAAAAAACACACACCCTGTTATAGGTTCAAGATCCAGCATGATGTAGTGCTTTGTGTGTTTGAACTATGACACTGGAGACCAGGATTTGAATCCCCACTTGGCCATGGAAACCTTCTGGGTGACCTTGGGTAAGTCACATGCTCTCAGCCTCAGAAAAAGGCAAAGGCAAACACCCTCTGAACAAATCTTGCCAAGAAAATCCCATAATAGATTCGCCTTAAGTCAGCATAAGTCAGAAACTTATGAAGGCACACAACAACAATTAATGCATTATTGAAATATATCATTAAATAAAATTTGCCACTAGAGGGCATTTGCATCTGTAATGGGAATATTATTGTACAGTTGTCCCTCCGTTTTTGCGGCCTTGAAGTCCATGACCCTCGCTTATCTGCAAGGGATGAAAGGAGGGACATAAAATTGGGTGCACCCCGCAGACACGCACTTCCATTCAAGCCAATAGGGCTTGAATATTTTGCGGTTTCCCTTTTTTTGCGTGTGTGTGTGTGTCTGGAACGGATCACCCACAAAAAAAAAAAAAAAAAGAGGGGCAACTGTACAATCAGATCTCCATATTTGCAGTTTTGACTTTTACAGATTTGATTATTCATGGATTTGATTAATATGTTCTCTCGAGGAATCTCTAGGTCCTCCAGTATGATTCTATTTTTAATTTCTGCCAAAAGAAGAATCATTCTCTAAGCATTTGTAGGTCCTCCACTGCAATTTCATGGTCAACATCTGACAAATCTTGACCACATAATTGCCCAGAGGACCTACAGATTCCTTGAAAGGTGCTCTCTCAGATCAAAAATATTAGTGTTTTTTATTTGAGTTTTTCCCACTTTCACAGGGGTCCTGTGCCCCTAACCCCAGTGAATATGGAGGGTCCACTCGCTATACAGATTTTTTTTTAGCATTAAACTTTGACCCTATACAAAGTCAAGTGCATTTAAGTCTATTGGTTATTTCTTCCTTTGTTTTGTTTTGTTTTTGCTATAGTATACAACAGTTAGAAAACATGCAACCACAAATGCAAAGAAACTAAACAACATTCTTGTCAAACAAGAATGTGAGAGCAACATAAATCAATACATTTTGTGGGGGAAAAGTTATCACACAGAGCCATGAGTAGTACGACAAGTCTGATCTAGTAAATTCATGTTAAGCCACATCCTGAATTCCTTTTTTTTTTTTTTTTTTTTTTGAGAACTTCAGTGGGCTATGTTCTAAGGATATCACATTTCAGTAAAAATTGCCTTGCTTTTCAATACCTTTGACAATTCTTAAATTATATGTTAACGTATCAGAAAGCATGAAGCACTACACCCTTGCAAGTTTTTAGAATGCAAGAGAGAGGGATGGATCACCAATTGTGACAGATGCAGCAGAATCCAGTGGAAATACATCATTGGATCCTGACTAAGATGCCCTATGTAAAGACCATATTACTTATGGCAGCCAAGCTAGTGACAGTCAGATCAGAGCTTGGAAGTGCTACTTTTTTGGACTACAACTTCCCAGAATCCCCCAGCTAACTTAGCCAGGCATTTCTGATCTTTGAGACAAGTGTTGGAAAACAGATTCTTACTATAGCAATGAGGTGGAGTGACAGTCTGGCTTGGTGGTGGAAACAGACAAAAATGAGGCTAAGCTAGAAGTGCAGTATGCTCCTATCCGTGTCCACTCAGAAGTAAGCCTCACTGGACTTATTCCCAGGCAAGTGAGTCTAGCATCTGAGTTGGTTCACCTTTCTGGAAAATACCCCAGTATGATGAGTTTGAGTCCCAAAATACCTAAAGGCACCAGATCTTGTCTGATCTTGGAAACTAAACAGGGTTGGAAGGGAGACTGCCAATTAATACCGGGTGCTGTAGGCTATATTTTAAATGAAGGAACTGGCAAAACCTCTGAGTATTCCTTGCCTTAAAAAAAAAAAACCCATGAAATTCATGGAGTTGTTAGTCAACAAGAGACTCAAAGGCGTGCACAGACAAATATTCTTCCCTTCTGCGCTGACTGAGAAGTTCTGATCAGACTGGCTCTGATCAGCCTTTCACCCCTTTTTGATTTCAGGTTTGGAGAGTTTTTGTTCTGTTATTTAATATGTATGCTTACAAAACTATAGTCCTCCCTTCTCTTTATTTCCTTGCTGACGGTATCAAAAATGTTCTACTGCTTTGTTTTGCCATTGTGTCTTACATAGAGGGGGGAAACCCAAGCTGTTCTTTTAAAGTGATTTTTACTTACCATGAGGTGAATTTATTTTTCATTTTTATTATGGTATAATGGAAATGCCAATAAAATAGTGACAGATATCTTTACAAGATTCATGATATAACTGCCAATGTAGTCTGAGGGGGCACCATTTACCATCTTTATGTCAAAACTGCAGTTTGCATGCACATAAATCTAAGTGCAGTTATCCCTTCTCTTTGTCTGAAGTTTGATGTCAAATGTGGCTTAAAGGTGAAGTTTAATATACTGGAACATCAGTCACCTTCAGAATGATTTAGACTCAGTTCGCTGTGCATACTAATATCTTTACCTCTTTGTTTAGTTCTGTATAATACAAAAGACACTCTGTCCTTGCTATTGATTGTTTCAGATAATTCCAGTGAAAAGTTACTTGGCATAGAATAGATAAAATACTTTGGACAGGAGTTCAACGGAAATTCAGGAGGTTTTGGGAAATGTGACAGAATGCATCTAGTCTGGTACTGGTGTTCTAAAACAATCCGACATAATTGTCAAGAACAGCTTTGGAGGCTTTTCTCAGTCCTGCCACCCACAATGTTACAGTGGTAGATGACTGCCAGAGAAAGAATATTCTCAATACTGATCCACCATCGGTGCAACCTGGCATCCTCATTAATTGCTTTTAGTTTTCAGGAAAGTATTTACTGTATATACTCGTGCATAAGTCTAGAAATTTGAGTCAAAAAATTGGCCCTCAAAACCTGGGTCAACTTAGCCAAAGATCAATGCAAGTTAAGCACTGTACTTTAACTCTTACCAAAAAAAAAAGAACCATTCCCTTCTTTAAGTACAGTTGTCCCTCCACTTTCGCGGACTTGAGGTCTGCAACCCTCGCTTATCTGCAAGAGACGAACAGAGTGAGACAATGGACATGCATCTCCATTCAAGCCAATAGGGCTTAAATATTTGTGTTTTCCCTTTTTTGCAGGATGGGTGGGTGGTGGTTTCCAGAACGGATCCCCCGCGAAAAAGGAGGGCCGACTGTATTTGAGTGATCCCCTGCAGCACCACTTTTGATCTTTTTGAATATCTTGGTAAAGTGGTGTTAGAGGCAGCTCTTTGGCACTTTCTTTCAAAGGAGCACTGAAAGGAATCAAGCTTTGAAGGATTTGAATAAGACATTTGTGCAGCTTTTCTGGGTTAAAATCAGGCAAAGTCATCAGTTTAAAGTTAAAGGCTATACTCACTGCTAACATAGTGCCTATACAGACTGCCAGAAATAATCAAGCTTGAGACCACTTTAACTGTCCTGGTTCAGTGCTAGGGAATCATGGGAACTGTAGTTTTTTCTGAGACATTGAGCCTTCTCTGTCAGAGAGCTCTGGTGCCACAATAAACTACAGTTCCATGATTCCCTAGCACTGAGCCAGGGCAGTTAAAGTGGTGTCAAGCTGGATTATTTCTAGCACTCTGTATAGGCCCATAGTCACCATTTTCTTTCTTTTCCTTTTCATCCTTTTTGACATGCACATTTTTTTATCCCTGTTTGTAGCTGGTCACCTCCCACACACATCACACAGCCACTATTTACTGTAGTTCCCTCCTCATCCATCCAGCTTTTAGGGTGAGCACAAACAGTTATGCCTGCCAGGATTTTGTAGTTACTTTGGTATCATTTCCCTTTGCTTCATTATGTCCTTTCTTACATGCCTCTAGGTTTTACCCTTGACTTATCCACGGGTCATATCAAAATCCATAATTTTTGCCCCCAAACCTGAGGTTGACTTATAGTCAAGCCTATGCAATAATATTTATTTTCTAGCTTCTGTTAGGTTTTATTGCTGAATTTTTACATCTTAAGACAGGGTCCTGTATGAGAGATACATGCGTGTAAGCACCATAGTTATGATGCTACACAGTATATCCTGGCCCGATTCCCCAATTCCTCACTTATAGGAAATCAGCAATTTCATTTGATGGGGCCTGTTCTCCTGGTTCACCCCATCCCAT